CTCGTTCAGTTCCAGGTGGGACTGCATTATGTCACACAGCAATATTTTTTAGGTATTTTTGAAAACCCATTCCTGAATCTCAAGTAGGATTATTCATTACTTAATTAATTCATCGCTTCACTAATTTCAGTGCTCCAAAGTCAGTTTTTACCACCTGATCATCTGGCCCACATGAACTATCAAAAATCATAGATTATATAGGATAAAAAAGCTGCTGCAGTGTACTGTGTTGGACAGGCAAGGTGTCAAACCTTATAGCACGTGGGAGAAGTTCTTGAGAATTGCTTAACAGTGTTCAATGGAGAATGCTGTGCCACTATCAGAATTTTTTATATAAATGTAACAGTTCCAATGAAAATTTTGATTTAGAAAGTTGTTCAGTCACAGGGTAGAAGGAGAAAGCATAGTCAACGCCATGACAGACGCACAGCAAGCACTTGAGGGGGAAGGTAGCGCGTGCAGGTGCAAATCCCCACTTTGCCTATCTCCCTGTCTAAAACCTCAACAAGGTCTTGGTTGGATTCCAGTGGGAAATATTGAAATATCAGGATGCTTTTCAGGATGGGAAAAACTTTTTTTTTTTGCCAAACTCCACATTTGAAACTTCTCCAGCTTAATTATTCCTGAAGTCTGAGTGGTTGCCTTAAAATCCAACAAAGAGTTTATAGGGTTTGAGAACAGAGTGTCCAATTTTCTTACTCCAGGCAAGCTTGAAGACATGATGGAGGAATATTTCAGTAATTAGCCATAACACATTTGACAGCTAGATTCAGATCACAACTTGATAGAAATGCAGATAATAGAAGGAATTTTCTAGACAGTCTGTCAATATAGCTCTATCACTGAAAGCAAAGTTGCACTTGAAAAGCTGTAATTTGGCCACATCTGTAAGCACATCAGTGCTCTTTCCACTGCTTCATTAAGTGCTTGGGCTTGGGTTTGCTGTATTTCCAGCGGTTTTGCTTTCAACATTTTTGGTTTTAAGCAATTCCCTTGTTATGATTTCAGTCATCCACCTATTGCATGTTCCATCCTACTTGTGACCACTCTCCTGATAGCTGCTTTCGCAGGAACTGATGCACGGGGTTCAGGAGCACACGGGCAATGTTCAGTCCAGTGCCTTTGCCATTCCCACAACCATCAGAAACGAAATAAGCTTACATGTGACGGTTAACACTTTTGGTTATTTCTTCTCTATGTGTTTTCTTTGAATTTCTACAGTTGTGATACTTCACACACAGTATGAAAACAACATTCATTTTACACTGGGCTTCTTTGCCAACGAGCAAGCAACAAAACTGGTAGAATTCCTAGGTAGGATGTTCCTCCAGCAGAACAAGAAAGCTGGGGCTGACAGATGACAAGTGAGTTATCTAAAGCAGTATTTCCTTGTTGAAAGCTGTAGTGGTAAGCAGATAAAAGATAGTCTTCAGCTTTTGGAAAATAAGGAAAGAAAGCAACTAATCTTTTTTAGCCAGTTACAGTCCCTTTCTTCATTGACATTGTCATAGTTCCTCTTGACTGGGCACGAGATGGACTTCCGAGAGGTTTTATTCTTAGACCAATGTGACAACTCATCTTCTTGAGATGGCTGTTCCCAGAGGGAACCTACCTGACAGTGTTAAACTAGATACTTATCCTTGAAGATGCTATGTCCTTATCATTCCTCCACACAGGAAATGGACCACAAGGGACTACATGCACTTTGTTAGCTCTTTCTGTCTTTAGACAACTTAAGTTCATCACTTCAATTTTACTAACAATATGTTAACTTACTGCCCATCTCCTCCAGTCATTTCAATTTCTTCAGGCTGGCATGTGAAAAACAATAGAAATTATGAGATCACATCCAGACACTACCTAAAGCAATTAACATTGGCCTCTGGGCGCACCTTCAGGTTAGTTTGGATCAAGAGCACACCTTTGAATAGAGTTTACTGATCATCCTCACTTACTGTATTTTTATTCATGTTGCAGAGTGTCCTGGAGAGTGCTCTTTCAGATGCAATGCAGCTGGCAGCTGCACTTCAAGGGTACATCTAACGTCCTCCAACTGCTAACAAGATGGGCCCCAGTCACATCAGCTCCTCTCCTGTTAAAGAAGGCACCCCTATTAGGCTGCAATACCTGTTAATGTAAACATAAGCTCCAACAGTTAACTCCAGGAAAGAATTAAAGCACAGAAACTAATTGGAAGGAGACATCAGCCTGCTTAGGGATAGAATTTTGGTTTCTGTCTGTCCCCTTTCTGCTGGCTAGCTGAGCTGAACTCTGACGATCCCTGCCGTAGGATCCAGTTCTTCCCTGGAGGTGGGCTGAGACCTGCACCTACCATGGGGTTCAGGATCTATCAAGTGACATGGGCTCTAGGAGCCAGCAACCATTTAATACCCAGAGAAAGTGTGCTACACAGCAGTACTGCTACAAAGAAGTAGTGGTACTTCCTTCAAAAACTACTTGCCTTCAAGAACCAGAAGTTAAATCCTAGCATATTTGAGAAATGACCCTCCTTGTTTCTATGTTTAATTGTAGATAAATTAAAAGCTTTTTGACTCCACTAGATGGTGTAATTTGTCTTTCTGTCAAGCATGGCCTTACAAATATTCCCCCTAATCCTTAATTCAAGATAGGACCACAAAATATCGTATGAAAAGTGAAACTGGTCTACAGGAGTCAGCAACTTTATCAGGTCATGCCTCTCTGGTGTTTTCTATGAGTCCTTTAAAAAGCTTCTGTCAGGAAAGGACAACTTACCTTTAAGAACATTCCTAGATCCATGAAGGAATCAAATAGGAACCTGAAACAAAAATATCATTGGTCGCCCTCTATTTCCCCTTACACCCAGGTGCCATCTAAGCTGTTCATGTGATTTATCTCATGTTTTTTACAGTGTAGTATTCCTAGAAGCTCTCTCCTTGGTTTATGTCCGAGTTACAAGATGATGCATTCAAACACGCTCCTGAACCTTTCTTGGCCAGTGACGCTTGCACTCGCAGGAGTATAGTTACATACAGGAGAAGTAGAGAACACTAGCCTGCACAACAGGGTGTATCTTGGAGGATATACCCCGGCTAAATGTAACCCTGGTGGATACACCCCTCTGGCTGAAACAAAAACCACCTCCTTGGCTTATGCCATCCAACTCTTGGCTTCAGTTGAAGTGCAGATTAAAAAGAAAAGTATGTCTAGATCATAGCTTGCTATTCAGACATTTGTAGGCATTTATTTGTTCATGCTTACCAAATAACATCTATGACACACATACAGAAAAAAAAAAAATCTAGGAAGCAAGATGCCCAACAACCCACCAGCAGCATACCACTCTTCCTAGAGTTCTGTAGCTACTAACCTGCCACACGGTTCAGCTCTCCCTGAAGTTCAGCCAGAAAGAAGTCCTTAATGGAAGAATACGACTAGATAATTTTCATGGTGTTTCCAGGATGTCTTGTAGGTATTAAGCTTAAAGAGAAGTCGCAGAACTCACAAACCAGAATGAGGAGACAGTTGTTGAAAGCACAAGACCGAACTGAACAAAACCCATCTGGCAAACTGGAGGAAGCTCAGCTATCCTACCAGCTGCCATTGCCCGTATGCTATCCACCCACAACTTTGCTTCCTTGCCCTTGGAGAACACACACTGGTAACACAGGCATTTTTTAATGAACAAACCCATGAGAGACACAACCAAGAAACACATCCAACATAGAGAATCATCAGCTTTCAGCGCTGAGACTTCTTGGTATTTCCTCACAGTCACACTCTGTACAAAACCCACAGGTTATTTACACACCCAGATACATTCGAGATCAGCCAGAGCAGATAGCTCTGAAGAGTTTACATGCCCACCATACCCTCTCCAAGCACAGAATTTAAAATACAGGACTGCCTACCGTGCATTATTAATAGCATTTCTAAACCTTAGTGCCACTGGAAGATTTGTTTCTGAATGCAAATTTAACAAACCAACCATTTCCTCTGTGGATGACTGATGCATGAAAAAGCTGAGGTATCTGTGTCTACAGTTGTGAATACTACAGACTTAGAAAATTTGTCCGGAAATATTCTGCTAAATATTTCGAGCTTGGGTGGAAATAAAACCAGAAAGTTCCTCAATAGCTACAATAAAGGTTTTAATCTCATGAAAATAAACAGTTAGCAATTGGATTTGTCTTATAACCACTTCTACAGCTCTAGTTACTCTGGAATAGCGTTATCTAGAGTAGGGTCTGGATGGCATCATATTGACCAAAGGTTCCAAAAGTATAGCTCTTGATGTGACAGAAAAATGGGTAAAGGTCCTTCTTGGTTATACACACTAGATGAAGGGCCTTCTTAATATTATCATCTTGTGCACACATTTAGTCACAAGAGGAGGAAGAAATGGTCTGTGCGATTGTTAATTCATACATGTGATAATCTTCACATTAACTACTAGATTGCTCTGTGAAAAAAGAAACCTGAGAAACACCATGACAACTGCATGTTTACCTATGCTGCATAGAGAACGCATATGCTATGCCTAATTAGTGATGCTGATCAATTTAAACCTGATTTATGGTCTGCTGCAAAATCTCATACCAGGAGACCACCTGACAGCAGTACCAACGTACACAGCTCTGTCGTAAGAAAAAAGCACTTTGTGCTGGGCAAACACACACATTCTGAAAAAATGCATTAAGTATTTACAGGATGGAGGTTTGTGTTCCATTAAGTCACTTTCATGCTGTCTTTAGAAAATGCCCCTAAGCAGAAGTGGGTTTAAGGTGTTAAGAAAGAAAAGGAAACTTGGCACAGGGAGGTACCTAATACTGGCATCGCACCAACAACATAACTGCACTCCAGTCTCAGCAAATGCGGGTTTTGCAGATTTCAGTTTGCAAATTGTGACAGCAGATGGTTAAAACCTGCCCCCACACAAATCCCATGCCTGAAATGCCATTGCCTACATTTACACACTCTGAGAAAAAGAGACTTGGATTTCCAAACAACTGAGTGAGTAACTTCTATTCCCACATACTGGGATGCCTGTTACGGAGGCTACAGGACACTTGAAATAACAGCAAAGTCTCTGGCTACTATTACATAGCCAATAAACTTTTATTTAGAAGTGGAAGGACAACATGATTACAAGAAGAAAGATCTAGGGGTATTTATTGCTCCCCTGAAATTCAGAGAAGTCCCACAGGCTCCCTGGCAGCATGTTGGTGCTTGAGCGAAAGGATGAGCAGGTTCTTTAAATGACAGGCTAAAGTCGGTATCAGCATAAACTGCACGGAAACTTCATCTCCACATTGCTTCCCGATTCATACAATCTGTGTATGAGGAGTAATCCAAATATTGGATTGCACACAGTTGGCAGGTCTTGCACCCCTCTTCACAGACAATGGTTTTGTCATAACTCACAATGAAGTTACTGTAATACTGCTCAAACAGCGTGCTGTGTGGCACAGACAACCGCTTGGCCATTTCATATAGGCTTTCTGGCTTCAAGTTTTCAATACTGTAAGCTTTAGTCAGGATGTATTCTAATTTCCAGTTCGATTCATTTTTCTTGTTGGCATCTCTGAGGTCCAAGTAAAACTGCCAAAGATCCTACAGTTTAAAAAAAAAAAAAAAGAGAAAGAAAAAATAGGCACGGCTGTATTGCTTTCTTCCCTGCTTCATTAACTCTCTAGAGTGATATATTGATTAGGAAGCTGTCACTCCTCATTATTCACAACTGAATAGAAGGTCACGTCCCACCCCAAGAGCTGGGCTTACACCCAAAGCTGGTACTTGCAGTGCGGTAATGGCAGGGGGGTGGGGGGGGGAAGAAAAAA